TTTGGGGCAAGGTCGCATACCAGTTAATTTATATTTTATTACAGGCCCGATGTGTGGATCCTCCCTTTGACTCTGCTGTATTTTAGCCACAGGAAGAGGTTCATTGTCACCCATGTCAGGTGAACATGGAGACGAGTCAGATACTACCCAAGGTGAGGTATCTTCCTGCACTTCTACAGCTTGTGCGGTGGCTGCAATGCAGTCTGATGACATTTCCTCCGTACATTGTTCTATCATCCCTTCAATGTCTAGAGGCAATCTTGATAAACTGTCGGCATCTGCATTCTCTCGGCCAAGGTGGTACTTTATTGAAAAATGGAAGTCGGCTAACTCCGCTACCCACCTACAGCCGGTGGCATTGAGTTTCACACTGGATAGTACATACGTGAGAGGTTTATTATCACTAAAGACTGTGAATGTAGGTGCGTAGTATAAGTAGTCTCTAAATTTCTCCGTTATCGACCACTTGAGGGCGAGAAACTCTAATTTACCCGAATGGAGGTGGTAATTTCACATCCAAATGAAGCTTCTCCCATTCACGAAGAAGACATCGGCTCTGAGGGGTAAGAGACTTCATTTGTTTGGGGCAAGGTCGCATACCAGTTAATTTATATTTTATTACAGGCCCGATGTGTGGATCCTCCCTTTGACTCTGCTGTATTTTAGCCACAGGAAGAGGTTCATTGTCACCCATGTCAGGTGAACATGGAGACGAGTCAGATACTACCCAAGGTGAGGTATCTTCCTGCACTTCTACAGCTTGTGCGGTGGCTGCAATGCAGTCTGATGACATTTCCTTCGTACATTGTTCTATCATCCCTTCAATGTCTAGAGGCAATCTTGATAAACTGTCGGCATCTGCATTCTCTCGGCCAAGGTGGTACTTTATTGAAAAATGGAAGTCGGCTAACTCCGCTACCCACCTACAGCCGGTGGCATTGAGTTTCACACTGGATAGTACATACGTGAGAGGTTTATTATCACTAAAGACTGTGAATGTAGGTGCGTAGTATAAGTAGTCTCTAAATTTCTCCATTATTGACCACTTGAGGACGAGAAACTCTAATTTACCCGAATGGAGGTGGAAATTTCGTTTGGCAGCTGTGAGGGTCCGAGATCCATACGCTATTACACGGAGCTTACCCCCCTGCTTTTGGTACAATACTGCCCCCAGGCCTTGGTTTGAGGCATCTGTATGAAGAATAAAAGGCAGTGAAAAGTCTGGAAATCCAAGAATAGGTGGTTTGACCAGATGGTTTATCAATTTTTCCAATATCTCTTGGTGCTCATTCTTCCAAATTATTGGTTGGTTCGAAGGCACTCCTCTAGTCTTCACTTTACTTTTTGGCAAGTGTTTTTCCACTCCCGGGGTACTCTTGAGTAAATCATACAGTGGTCCAGCAATCTTTGAAAAATCCTTAATAAATTGTCGGTAGTAATTTAAGAGGCCCATCACAGTTTGCAGCTGCCCGACGGTACTTGGTCTCTTTTCCTTCCAAGCTCGCACAGCCTCCGTGTCAGCTGGATCCACTTTGCTACCTTCAGCCGACACTATTCTTCTGAGGTAGCAGATTTCCCTTTTGAACATTCCACATTTGTTGGCGTCAGTTTTATTCCATACCGTCTAAGCTGCTACAATACCTCCCGCACATGGTTGACATGGTCTTCAAAGGACTTGCTGTAGACTAAGGTATCATCAAGGTACGGCACACATATCCGGTCTCTCAACCTCTCCAAGCATTCCTCCATACCCCTCTGAAAGGCAGCTGGAGCATTCATCAAGCCAAAAGGAATTCGTATCCACTCATACAACCCCCACGGGGTTAAAAATGCGGTCAGGGGCCTACTCTCCTTTGCCATAATACCTTGATGATATGCTTTTCCCTGATCTAATAGTGAAAACCATGAATTCCCACCCAGGTTGTCAAGGATATCCTGTACTCTGGGAATTGGCTGACGATCAGGATTGGTCTTCTTATTCAGCTTCCTGTAATCCACACAAAGGTGGAGGCTTCCATCCCTTTTCCTAACACAGACAACAGGTGATGCATACGATGATGTTGATTTTGATATCCAACCCTGAGCAATCAGGTCATGAAGGTGTAATCTTTTACCCTATAGAGTGGTTTTGATACAGAGATGTATGAACGTGCAACAGGAACTGTGTCTTTAAGGGATATCTTCAGGGTTAGATTTTCTATGCACCCGATGTCATCATCTGACTTCGAGAATGACGCACATTCCTCTCGTAACATCTTGCGTACTATTACCTTTTCAGGCTGACTCAGATGACCCAAATTGACTGGAGGGTCCCAGGTATCACTGGCAAACTCAGCACTGCTTGTTTGGATGGGATTCACTGAAGCAGGTATGGACTGAATTGACTGATCCAATGACATTGATGGATAAACAGCTTGTACCCTATGTGCTGTTCCTATGACTGTTTTTCCACACAGGACAATGTCATGGTCCGTAGGATTCCGAGCATCAAGTACGATGTACGGTGGAACCCCCTTCTTATCCTTTAAAAGTGTCTCCTGGATTTCCCTTCCGCCCATTTGGGATCAAGATCGGGTTCAAACATCAAAGTAGTGTCCTCCTTCAGTGAGTTCATCTTTATTCGGTACTCAACCTGATCTGATCTGATTTTGGTCTATATAGGTAATTTTGACCTTCATGACAACTGTGAGGGGGGTGAATTTTTTTTTATAACTCATCCGTTTAATTTATATTATGCCTTAAAGTTCTGCATAATTAAGGGCCTGGCCACTTGAGTGACAGGTGAAACTCGCTAGACTGTGTGAAACTTAGAAAAATGGCTTTAAAGATTTTTATTTGTCCAGAAAAATTAATTATGGGTAGGACACAGGAAATCTGGCAATTAGTTTTAATGTTTTAATGAAAATGATCTCAAACTTGATTTTTACCGCTATTTTAAAGTTATTGTAGGTACTTTGCCTTTGCACTGTCTGCAAAAAGTGAGATGTCACGCCAAGGCAAAAGGCAATAACTTCCACATTATTATATACAATATTTGGGTGCTGATCACCATTTACAGAATCATTATAATATCTGTATAAAATCTAGTGTTCATTGGCTAGGCTATAACATGTAATGTGATTCAGTTTTTTTTCTGACTGTAACAACCAGACAAAAAGTTAAACGTGACTGGATACCGTTTTGCAACCAAAGGATGGACCAAAGGACCCCAGCCCGGGGTCGTCGCATGTGGTTACCGCAAGCCCACAAATCGTCTAATCCGTCGGCCGCGCCGTTCTCAAGCCCGCCGGCCTCCACTCACTCAAGCCCACCGTGTGTGACGCTGTGTGTTTCGTTCTGAAAGCGAAACTACTTTGTTTGGCCTTCCAAAAGAGGACACAACTAGAAATCAGTGGTTAAGTTGTATTTACAACACTGTTCCAGAACAACCCAAATATTCAGATGTGTGCAGTGCATTTTATGGAGGACTGTTTCCTGAACCTGCAGAGTAGCCTACAATGCGTCTGTGCACAAAGGGTGTTTCTAAAGTGGGGCAGTTCCAACTTTGCAAGGACAGTCTGGCGCTTCTAACTCACAGCCTGTAAGTATGTTTTTTATATTTAAAGAATTTGCCACTGACGATACAAGCGTGTGTTTTGAGCAGTATAGAGTAACGCTTGTTGTTTGTCATTTCTCCGATCACAAATGCAGACATGGTTTTATGTTTACGCGGTGCGATACACAACGCAACGCGTAAAAAGACAGTATAAGTAATTATAATCAGTAATTATGTCCCCACCAGATGCAACAAATGCCTCGTTTGTAATGGGTTTTATTGGTGTTGTCTCATCGTGTCGGGACACGGCATCACAGTATGGTAAGGGGCGTAACATTTCTGTCACACGCTTGAGGTATTCAGCTAATCACAACGCACTGGATAGCTGGCGAGTCAGCGTACACCTCACTTTTCAGAATGATGAGCTTTGTAAAAACAATAATGAGCAACAATAATGTACAGTATGTGGAAAATAATGTGTTTTTTTAACCTTAAACCGCATAAACACATTGCATTACACCAAATACACAACATAATGTTCTTTTTAGCAACGTCATATGACCCCTTTAATAGACAGTAAAACAAAGGCAGAATAACGTATAACTCCAGGCTGGCACAGTAATATTTATGAATGGCTAAACAAATGCAGAACACCGTAACTTAATTTGAGCGTTCTAAAACAAAGTCAAATAGCGGAAACTGATGATACTGTGTTCTGCCTTGGTTTCTCCAGGGCTTTTCTCCAAGATTCTTATACACATGATAAAGGAGGTCATATATGTCCCAAAATGATCAAGAACTCATTTTCGACCGGTTTCAGCAACCAGGCACCTCAGCTTCACCCACGTCCCACCTTTTTGCCCATTTTCGATTATCCGGGAGTGATGCGTGGTGATGCACTGCCAAGAAGGCACGGTCAGTTCCACCCACTTTAGGCTTCAAAAATGCACTTCGGAAAACTACGAGTGACGTCACGGACACTACGTCCATGTTTTTTTACAGTCTATGATCTATTTCCACCAATGGTCTCTATGGTTAACTCTCACAATGGTTATCAGAAACGCAGCCCAGGTCACTCAAAATCAATTATTTAATACAACAAAAATAAATAAGAAATTATATTTAGTATAAAAGAACATCAATTCTATTTTTAGGACCAAGATTTTTTCTTTTTTTATTTGCCAGTCAACATTAATTTCAAGACAATTAAGTACCCTAAATTCTCATTACTGTAATATGCTTGATATTTTACAGTATTCTGTGCTGATTTAAAAATAGAAAATAATAAAAGGTAGTATAACAAATACTTCCATGATGTATAAACTCATTACAATTTATCATCTTTTTCAGACTACAGTAATGCAAATGACAATAAAAATAAATGTCCTAATCCAAAAAAACAAAACAAAAACATAATGTTCCAAAATATAGGCTTAATTAAAATTATTTCTTAATTTTAGGGTGAACTTAAGTGTATGTTCTTTAAGATTCTAAATCGTTATTAATGTTGTGTAATTTATCTGAATTGATTGAATTTGAGGATTTTTTTAATTGACTTAAGTAATAGGATTTTTTTACTTTGCATGTTGAAAATAAATACACTAATAATATTCAGACACTTACAAAAGTCATTTGTCAGCGCATTTGCATCTAAATATCAACAAGGCAGTTTGACAAGTAAGGCATAAATGTGTTTCATGGTACATTAAATCCCACAGAGTTCAGCAGGATTGCATATGAATAACGGAGAAAGCAGAAATGAAAAAGTCAAATGACACAAATCCACTGATGGTCACCAGAGCACAGGGAATTCTAGTTTGCTGAATCCAGGGTCCTTCCTGAGGTCCCAGTAAGTGCCATTGCTCACCCAAGAGTCATCTTCAGCACGTCTGATTGAATTAAAGAAATAGAATTACAGACAGAAACTTGTGACGCACCCAACACAACTACACATTTGTGTTCATAAAAGTCACTTACTTGAAGAATCGGGGCGAGTGTGTAATGTTGTTTTCTTGCAGGACTCTCCTCCTCTCTCTTTGGAGTACTTCAGTTCTTTCTTTCTGTTCTTCTGCTCCAGCAATATCACCCTCTTCAAGTAATCTAACAAAAAGCGGACCAATAAGTAGCCAACAGCATTAGTAATGGGAAAAGTTCACTTTGGGACAACATAAATGCATCATTCATATTTTAAATGTCTCTAATTATGTCCACACCTTTGGTCTGGCCTAAAACGGGTGTCCGTCAGGGGCAAGAGTGGCTTTAAACCCTCCTCCAATTCATTTAACTCAATTGCAAACTGGGTGAATCCATAGTACTGCTCATGGTCCTCAGGCATGGGATCTATATATGCACACAATACAGAGACAAAAACGGTGCTGTTTTAGCACCCTCTTGAGGTCATTATCCACAAATTCATACAACATAATGAATACAGGTTAGAGGTTTGAACCATTTAAATACAGCTAAACAGGCTCTTCTGGACTGGTCTGAAACTCACTTGCTCTCCAGATGCAGGTTGCTGAAGGCGGTTTGCCCAGATATAAGGCCTCGTTCCATTTGCCAAACAGAGAGTGAATGACACGCCCATTTGAATCAGTGACCATACCCTCTACCTCATTAGCATTCAGACCTCCAGATCTTGACTGAATATAAGACATGCATAAAACAAATTATAATAAAAAAACAAAAACGGGAAATCATTCATAAAATGAAAATTTGGTCAAGGTTATTCCACAAGAGGAAGATGCGGGCAAGACAAACACGGATGCACACATAAATGAAATTAAAAGCCTGTTTTGCATGTCTTGATAGTCCCACCTTAAGGAAAGTGACTTTGCAAAGACTGACGTCTCCCATCGTGGTAGAGTGTTTGATTGATATTTCCCCATAGTGTTCGATCCAGCGCTGACCGCTCAGAATGTTATGAATGCATGAAGTGACTTTACTCCACTCATAACGATCCGCAAAACTGAGAATGAGTGAATGAGTAAAAGAGAGACAGAAAGAAACTGAGAGGTGGTGGAGAAGGTGGGATGGAATAATGGAAGTGAATTGGAATCAGAACAATTCAGGATAAAAATGAAATCACCCTGGCAGCTCTAAGCGAGTGACTCCCATGGGAACGATCTCCATGGATTTTCCCCAAAACTTATTCTTCCACCGGACATCTAATGGACATACAGAGAATGGACATTAAAATCATGCTAAATGCTAAAAGTCATGACACTAGCCAAGTGTGCTTCACTTACCTTGCCAAAATGTGTAGTTTTTGGACTCGCAGTGACAAGCAGACACAGGTGGATGGTGACTGACCTGAGGTACACAATGTAACGGTTCATGTGAGCGTGTTCACCTTTGTGTTTTGGTAGAAATAAAAGAAATGTGTACCCTTACCTGTTCAGCAATGAAGTGAAAGCCCTTATCTGGCCGGAGACACTCGTATGTCTCTCCTAATATAGGATTAAACGGTTTTCCTCCTGCTCTAGTGAATGAACACGCATATGCAGATACAGCAAATGCTGCTATATACACCTAAAGACAAACCACACAAGAATAGAATATATGGTTAAAAGAATAGTTCATTAAAAAATTAAAATTTGCTGAAAATGTTCTCTCCAAAATGTAGATGAGATTGTTTCTTCCTCAAATTTGGAGACATTTAGCATTAAATCACTGGCTCACCAGTGGATACTAATGGGTTCCATCAGAATCAGAGTCCAAACAGCTGATAAAAACATCACATTAATCTACAAGTAGGGATGGGTATCATTTACATTTTATCGATACCGCTTATCGATACTGTTATCGAAACTATTTGGTGCAAAAAGATATGAAGTGAAAAGTTGTTAAAAATTTCAAGTTATTTGATTACTGCTGAACTTTAGCAACTGTATTAAAGTTCTTCAGCCAAGAGCAGTGAGTTATTTTTCTCTTTGTGTTTTATTTTAATAACATTAAAGGAAGAGTTCACCCAAAAATGAAAATTGTGTCATCATTTACTCACTCTCAAGTTGTTTTATACCTGAATGAGTTTCTTTCTTCTGTTGAACATAATAAATTATTTTGAAGAATGTGGGAAACTAAACAGTTGCTGGTCCCCAGTGACTTTCATATTTTCCCCCCTACTATTAAAGTCAGTGGGGACCAGCAACTGGTTACCCACATTCTTTAAAATATCTTCTTTTGTGTTCAGCACAAGAATACCTAAAAATTAATACATTAACAACTCAAAGAAAATATATTGGAGCACTACTTGCTGAAAGGACCTCCGTTTAATAGTCCCAGAAGGTGCTCTTTGGTAGGATTCAAAATTATATCTTTAGAAACTACGGATCCAAGGCACTTCTTCCAGTTCCAAAATGTTAAAAAGCCTTTATTCAAACATGGCTCACTCTAGAAACATTAAAAATGACTAGAACACTGCACACTGATGCATTTCGGCCATCCAGCCTTCCTCCACACTCTGATCCGTAGTTTCTATAGAAAAATTAATACATGTTTGGTACAACATGACTGAGTAAATAATGACAGAATTTAAATTTTTAGGTGAACTATCCCTTTAATCAAGCGGCAGCATGTTTAGTAACGTTACTTTCCCTTTAAGAGCTGCACGCATCCATTTCTCTCTCAACTGTTTACTTTCACTTTAGACATAATTAACTGTGTTTATATGTAAACCTTGTGTGTTTTTGACAGTATAAGCGCAATCAGAGACAACTAAGATAACTAAGTAATCAGGTGCTGTTTGACCGGCCGGTGTACACGCTCTGAGTAAGCACATGGCAGAACAGCACGCGAATAAAACGTTTAACCGACAAGGCTTTAAAGCACGCGGAAATAATGTACTTTTGTAATTGCGAATAAGTCTCGTGAGAGTAACTCTGCCGAATCAACGCGAGTTTCAGTTGGAGCTGGAGCCGCGAGACATAATACAGCGCATTGCTTGAGGTAGATGTTGTTTTGTTAGTAAATGTTTCATTATATATGACTAGTGTTGCCTCCTTCGTTCACTATTACACTACTGCATATATTGCATCTGACACTGGTGTCGCTTAGTTTTGTAACGTGAGCCCACACTTTCGAACGTTTCACTCTTGCGTGATTACTGATTGCACATGCGCATGGATATCACACGCACGTCGAGCAAATGTCAGCCACATCATTCAGTGAAGGAAAATGACAAGCAGCAGCTTCTAATTCGTAGTTAGCATTGAAGTATACGGAGATAAAACAACGCAAGTATCGATAACGGTATCGTTTGTCCTGAAGCTTATCGGTATTCCGGTATCGACCCAATTACGTACCGGTCCAAAAAAATACTGGTTGTCGGTACCCATCCCTATCTACAAGTAATCTGCACCATCAATTACCATCTTGTAAAGTGAAAAACTGCATGTCCATCATTAAGGTGTATTAACTTTCAACCATTGCTTTCCATAATCCATAATGACATTCTACCATAACAAAATTAACAATTCGTCTAACTCTCGCATGCTCTTTAAAACATTTTCCTCACTCCTTTGTCCTCCTTCTCCCCCTCTTGCATCAACTCTAATAGCTGACGACTTTGCCATGGTTTTCATTAATAAAATTAAAAACATCAGTGCACAATTTTCCACACCACAATCTGTCAAGCACATCTTACCAGCAAACATACACTCATTCACATCCTTCTCTTCACTCTCTGAGGCAGAAGTCTCCAAACTCATCCTTTCTAATCATCCTACTACTTGTCCGCTTGATCCTATTCCATCTCATCTGCTTCAAGCCATTTCACCTGTAGTTGTACCTGCACTCACTCACATCATTAACATATCCCTTCACACTGGTGTTTTTCCCTCAACATTTAGACAGGCTCCTGTAACTCCACTTCTTAAGAAATCCACCCTTAACCCATCTCTTTTAGAAAACTACAGACCGGTTTCCCTTCTTCCTTTCATTGCAAAAACACTTGAACGAGCTGTGTTCAACCAAGTCTCTGCCTTTCTCACACAGAACAACACCCTCCATGTTAAAATGCCTAACTTTACAGCAGAAAAAAACATGTTTACAGCCTGGTTCAAAAAATTATTTTGGTCTATATAGCTAATTTTGCTCTTCATGACAACTGTGAGGGAGGTGAATTTTTTTATAACTCATCCGTTTAAATTATATTAAGCCTTAAAGTTCTGCATAATTAAGGGCATGGCCACTTGAGTGACAGGTGGATTGCCACTGCTGTCACCACCATCGAGCTAGGTGGGCGTGGTTTCAACAACCAGCTCCCGCCTCTTTGCCCATCTTCGATTATCCGGGAGTGACGTGCGGTGACGCGCTGCCAAGATGGCGACGGCCACCTCCGCCCACTTTGAGCTTCAAAAACTATCTTGGACACTACGTCCAGCAGCGGAGTCCTTAACCATCTTCAAGAATCGGCTAAAAACACCTCTTCCATCTTTATTTGACCCTCTAACTCTAGCACTCTCTATTCTAATTCTATTCTTAAAAAACAAAACTTGTCCTTTTTAGACTTGCACTCTATCCATTTGCTGTTTGTTTTCTTTTAAAAAAAACAAAAAAACTAACACTTGCTTTCTAATCTTTTTCTATTCTATCGGTTTTCTTTTTATTTACTATATTTAAGTAACTATAGTTAAGCTAACTGAGACTTGTTATAGCACTTGTATATCATTGCTCTTTTGTTGATTTTGATTGCTTCCATTGTCCTCATTTGTACGAGCTTTGGATAAAAGTGTCTGCTAAATGACTAAATGTAATGTAAATGTAATGTTTCCTCTAGTGAAAAAGTCCACCGACATATTTGTGTAAATCTGTTTTCACTTACAAACCATGCTTTATTTGTGCATATTTCTCTCCTGATTCAGACGAGAGACTTATTCACTGGAGAAAGCAATATTATGGATAGAGGACTTGTTTAGCCAGAAACAATGTTTTGAAGTTCAAAACATCTTAATGTTGGTTCCTTTTCATGGGAACTTCGAACTGCGTCCTCTAGGGGTCGCTATGGGGACGCCTCGTCGTGACCTGTGTGACTGCTGAGGCACAGAGGAGAATGAACTCGTGGAGATCGCATGTGGATCTGGCCGATGAGTTTGAAGAGGGGTTTTCCCTCTCGCAATCGTCGGCTGTGGACGAGAGTGAGCCGCCAGAGGATGATGTTATTTCATTAACATTGTCTGATCCAGGGGCCAGTGCTCTGCTGGAAAGCAGGAAAATGTCTGACGAGGGCAAAAAGCTGAGGCTGGGCTTTCTCAATCCTCCTGCCCTGCGTATGATGAGCTTTTGAAATTTATGGATCGCGCCACGGCGAGGCTTTACTTGCCGTGAAGCGGGTGAAGAAAATGACATTGTGAGGTCATCTATTAAAAAATAAAAAAAAAAACCTGATGAACGTTATTTTTCTGGCCATAACCCTCCAGCTCAGGTGAGCCCTAATGAGGTAGCCGAGTGCGGGCAAAGGCGCACTCAGCAGCCTTTACGAAGGTCCAGGTCTGAGCCCGAACAAACCAAGGGGTCCTGGCCCGTCTCGGTTTGAGGATCAGAGACGGGCACAGAAGGCTAGTGTCACGGCTCGCGCTCCTCCCCCGCCCGCGGGTAATGGTAGGAATAATCGCGGGTCAAAGAAAGGTAGGTAAAAGACCTAAGGGATGTGATCCAGACAGGGCATCTGCGCTTTGTCCGGATCAGAGTGATACCTCAGTATCAACTAATTTCCTTCGGGGGTCTTACATCTGCCCTTATCTTCCTCTTCCTAATTCCCCTGTAACCACCATCTCTCCACCTGACCGAGGTTAGGTGGGAATTCCCTGCATTACAGTCTCCTATGTTGGACCTATGATGTTTGGATGATGTTACTGATGGTCCGGACCAGAGGCTTCTTCGGACAGGGCTCCGACGCGGGAACCATGGTGTGTGAGTACGATCCATTTCTAAATATATTATGCGCTGGTTTCCGTACCCACTGTATATATGTGTGTGTGTATTTAATGCGCTGGTGGTTGTGTATAATCCTTCTGCTAGCTTTCTTTGCAGTGTTTCCCGGGACCTGTGTGTTTCTGTCCTTTTTCTAGGGTAGGTCCTCGATGAGCACCCCCTCTGCTGGATTTAGAAACCGGGTGCTCGACTTGCAGTGTTTATTTCACTCGTCGATATATGTCCAGATGGTACGGTAAGCCGGGTTTCGGCTTCATACTTCCTGGATTATGCGGCCAGGTCACAGGCTTCTCCGGGAGCCTTCTGGATCATTAGGCCCCCGGCACGACACTGCAAAGATTTCCTGGACGTCCGGGCTGGGCTTATGCTTTCAGGCTGCCCTGTCTGGTCTACCGTATCTAGGTCGCCCTGAGGGGCCTCCCGATCACCAAGATATCCCCTCTTGCTGAGGCATCGAGCGGGAAGTATCCATGGCAATATGGTAGAGTTGGTACTTAGTGCTCGCCATGGTTTCTGGCATGCACTCCCCTCAGCATGGTGGAGTGGGTATACCATTCCCCATAGTGACCCCTAGAGGACGCAGTTTGAAGTTCCCATGAAAGGGAACGTCTCAGGTTACTTATGTAACCATGATTCCCTGAGTAGGGAACGAGACACTGCGTCCTCTAGGTTTCTTGCCATGCTTTGGACGCAAGCTTCAGACGAAGAAGCGGATGATGTGTTCTCCCGGGGGCCTATTTATACTATAATCGCACCGGTAGTGATGTCATGGCTGTCGCCGGCCAATGTGTTGTTGGTGTTTTTTCAATGTATGCTTCAGACACGGGTACGACGAGGCGTCCCCATAGCGACCCCTAGAAGGCGCAGTGTCTCGTTCCCTACACAGGGAACCATGGTTACATAAGTAACCTGAGACAATTTATTACAAACACTTAGCTTTCACTTCACAAGATGTTAACTGATTGACTGGAGTCATGTGGATTACTTGTGGATTATTATCAGCTGTTTGGACTCTCATTCTGATGGCACCCATTCGCTGCAGAGGATCAATTGGTGAGCAAGTGATGAAATGCTACATTTCTCCAAATTTGTCCTGATGAAGATACAAACTCATCTACATCTTGGATGGCCTTAGGGTGAGTAAATTTTCAGCACATTTAAATTTTTGAGTCAACTATTCCTTTAAGCACAAAAACAGTTTTGAAGATAGAAAGTCATTTTGAATGAGAGTGAGTAAATGATGATAGAATGCATATGATTGATCTCACCATGCGCATGTGTGGGTCGTGTGTGTTTGCAGCAGTGTCCAGCAGGTGGCAGTACTCAACTTCCTCACACAGTCTCTGCAGGGTGTTCAAGGGCTCATTGAGTTGGACGGGCATGGCAACTTTCGACAGGTCTTTACCGATGTTACTACGCAGAATACTCCACAGATTCACGCTCTCGTTCATGCGAGTACTCGGCAAACGCTCTCGCCGCTTCACTGCACAGTTGTTGCCGTTACCTGAAGACACAAAAACACACATAAACCATTAACTATGGTTGTAAAGAAAGGTGATGCTTCATAAAGGTGAACTTGGACAGTGCCTTACTTGAAATCTCCTTTGCGACTCCATTCTCATTCCTGCAAAACTCCACTGACGTGCTGTCACTCACATCACTGACATACGAATCATCATCGGACGCCTGGTCACAAAAAAATACAAAATATAATGATCAGTAAGAAATTCATGTGTTTTACCTTCTTCTTGATGAAAAATATTTTTTATTTCAATTTTAAATCACTAAATCACTGACAGATGATTCAGGCAAATCTGCGATTTGACCACTTGGCCTCTCTGACCTCATTCTCAGACGAGCTCCCAGACAGCAGATACTCTTTAGCGTCAAAAAACTCTGACAGGGATTCTGGGATTGACCCTCGACTCTCACTGGACACCTGCTGCCGGAGAGGGCGTGATCCAACGAGGACTTCCTGATCAGTTGAGAACATTTGAGTCATAATTGGCTTTGTTGATTTTGGCCAATAACAACTGAGCATATAAACAAATTTGTTGCCTATACCTTCTCACTGATACAATCCAATGTGTTCCTGACTCGGTCTCTTTCTGTGCAAAGTGAAGTGTACGCTGACCGAAGAGTGGAATGAACTAGTAGAAGAAAAGAAAGGGAGAAAAGTGAGAAAGAGGAAAAAGTATATGTCATTTCATCATACTCTTCTCAAAAATTCAGTAGCCGATAACAGTACAAGTAAAATGTCATGATTATCGATACCAGTTTCGATACTACAGCAAAACTAATGTTACTGAAAATGATTCCTTTATTTTAAAACATAGTTATTAAAGGGGTCATATGATGCTTTTTTAAAGATCATTATTTTGTGCATTTGGTGTAACAGAATATGTTGATATGCTTTAATGTTCAAAAAACACATTATTTTTCAAATACTGTACGTTATTGTAGGTCCTCTATGCCCCGCCTCTCTCAAACGCTTCGTTTTCTACAAAGTAGATATGTGGGGGCGTGTTAGAACGAGCCATTTTAGGGGGGCGTGGCAGAGTCTTAACTTTGATAAAGAATATCTCTTTGGTTTTGAGACTTTAGTCTTTGCAACTTCAGGGATCTTATCTATGCACAATCAGCTTGTAACACTCCAAAGAGAAAGGAAAACTTGAAATCGCATCATATGACCCCTTTAATATAAATATCCCATGCATGTGTGCATTCAGACTCGCCAGTGGCAGCAAGCCGACAGAACTCCTCCTGCATTCGAGAGGCTTCTGTTGGTGAGTCTGGACTATCCAGGCATGAATCTGGTGAAACAGGCTCTGAATATATCAAGTTCGGGTGAGATACGTGCAGATGGGAAGATGAAGCATCAGGATTTGGCTAGAAAACAACAGATCAGAGTTAAAGTGAATGAGAGAGTGTGTGTGTGTGATGCAGTGTCTTGGTGTGTACAATGCAATTAGAAAAAGAGCTATTTTACCTGCTGTGTGTTTTTATTTTCCTTGCTATAATTCTTTGATCTCCATTTTTTGTGCCCTCGTTTCTCTTTTTTGGAGCTTTCAGTCTGGGGCCACACACACACACACACATTTACGTACATTTTTGTCTAAATAATGAGCTATAGATAAAAACATTTCATAAATCTTACCAAACCCAAACAGTGTACACTTTTGCACTTTATTATTTAAAAAATTATTTTTATTTTATGAATGAATAGTTTAGGATTTATCCGGATGTCCCCTAATTAATGTTTAATCAGATTTAATAAACCTACCTACACAGACCAAACATAAACACATATTTAATCCATAGATACAGTGAAACGCATGCAAACAGCCCTACCTGCAGTAAGTTAATGGCAGGTGCTGAGAACGTTCTGTGAAGAACTTCCATATTTTTCAGCAGCAAATTTAATTCCAGCAGAGCTGACTCACACTCTGACAGATCTAAAAAGGTTACAGTGTTTAATTTTTCCTAGAGATGATCAGGAAAACAACTTCTCTAAAATGTTCTCTATGTAGTAGTTGCACAGTACTTTTGCCATGAATATTGCAGAATGATATGTCAGTGCAGGTTTTTCCATCTACCTTTGCAGCACTTATCCATGTCTTGAGAGTTTTGCCACCAGCTGTTCTTCAACAGGGCTGAAGGCAGCTTGGAGAGAAATGAACGCTGGTAAAAAAAGAGAAAAAACACGAAATGTGTTTTCTGCGTATATTGCTGTGTGACTTTCTGTGTCACTTGGAAATAATAGGAAAGAGTTATAGTACCATTAAAAAAAATTTGTGGTCAGTAAGATATTTCAGTGTTTTTGAAAGAAGTCTCTTATGCTGACTAAGGCTGCATTTATTTGATCATAAATACAGTAAAAACAAATTTAATATATTTTAAAAGGTAGCTGAATTTTAACATGCTGATTTGGTGCTCAAGAAACATTTCTTATTATCAATATTAAATACAGGTGTAATGCTTATTTTTGTGGAAATCATGATACTTTTTGTTCAGGATTCTTTGATTAATAGAAAGTTCAAAAGAACTTTATTCAATTTATTTAAAAACATATACAGTATATATATGTTTTTGAAACAATGTTAAAGTCTTTATTATGACTTAAAACAAAGTCTTACTGACTTACTCAATATTGTTGTTGTTATTAAGGGTGCACAATATGCAACCCAGTAATTGCACATAAATATGCACATCAGTAATTATTAATTTTATTTTAATTAGTGTTCAGTCTAGCGACATGATATTGTGCGCAAATTCTTATTACTTTAAATTCAAACTCTTTTCTTATGCCAAGTACCATAAACAAGCTAATTTTCATACTGTACATCCAGATGTTTTGATTCAACAAATCATGTAAAATTCCAGATGTAAAACTTTATTGATGTTTTTAAAGGCACAGTATAAAACACAATATCAGCCATGACATATTTTAATAACTGAAGTAGTAAACTGTCAGTTTCAGGCAAAATTTCAGCATCTCTCGTTATTATTGTAACTTTCCTTACAGCTTTACACGTTCTTATCCTGTTTAATGGGATGTTGGGTCTAAAGGCTGACTTTATGACGACTGTATAAGGAGGGTAAATACTCGTCTGTTGGCGGTGGGGTCAGATTGCAGCGGTCGCTCGGGAGGCTCCATGGTGATCTCGTTCTGACGGAACGTTCGATGATGACGTAGTTGAGTCACCCACTGCTCAAACAGATCCCGAGTCTTTGCCTGTGAATGTCACCATAAATACAGCTAATGTGCATTCTCAAAATGAGACCATGTGTAGGTGAGCATGTGTTGTTTGAGTGTATGCCAATACCTTGAGATGATAGATACTATCCTCTGTGTCCAGGTCGATGCACATTGACTTCTTCTTCATGGCCATGACAGAGAGACCAACATCAATGCGACCTCGTAACCTCCCCTTCTTCAGCTGAGGAATCAATCACACGGTAAGCAACAAAAGAGCATCACTGACAGGATTTAAGCAAGTTTACTCCACATAGGCCTTAAAGAACTTGTGTGTAGCATGTGGATGAGACTATGTTGTCACACTCACATCAGTCCCAGTCTTGGCATATGTAAGGATGCCCCTTTCAAGCAGGAAATATCTCTGTTAAACATAGACAGACAAGGAGAAAAGCATTTTTAGCACCCTTAGGTGTAATATATATTCAAATGACAATATCATGTGATCACCTTATGCCAGCCTTTCATTGGCCACTTCCTCTTTTTCAACAGCAAACCTTCCTGCTTCTCAGGCTTCTGAATATTTCCTGTCAATCCTTGCAAGTCCTCAACCAACTCCCAGCTGTCCTAAAGAATAAGAAGATAAAAGAGGTTTAACTTTTAAAAATCTGTGGAAGAAAGAACATGTACTTTTTTCTAAGAGAGTTAAAAACTGCTGATGTAGATGTTGATTTAAAGCATACAGAGCAATTACAGCAATACCAACTGCATCAAACGACCATCATATCCACTACTATGGCAAAAAAAAAAAACCCCGCACACTAGGGCCTGGTTTCATAAACGGGGCTTAGCCTAAACCAGGATTAGGCCATAGTTCAATTAGGACATTTAAGTAATTTTTATAAACATGCCATAAAAAAGCATTCGTGGTGTGCATCTTAAGACAAAACAAAGACACTGACATGTTTTAAGATCAGTCAGTGCAAGTTTCTTTCAGTTGAAACAGCTCAAATTTACATTTTAGTCTAGGACTAGGCTTAAGCCTTGTCTGTGAATCAGGGGATAGATGTTTTAGCAAACATCAATTAAGTCCTCAGTAAATATCTGAAGTAGTTTGTCTTACCTGTCTGTTGTCTTCCGATGAGGAGTTACTCTCTTTTCGTTGTGTAAATGGTGTTATGGTTGCTGTGGCGGGTGATGTCTTGGGAGACAGTGGTGCAATTTGGTCTTCTGTACTCATCTTGCAATTAACTTACTATGGAGACAAAAACAGGCAACACTCAATACAAAATTACAGTACCCGAATTACATAATATGGCCAACAGAGGGCAACAGAGACAGGCAAGAACAAGTGTGAGCGAGGCTAAGAAAGTCAGGAAATGACAAGTAGAAACTAAACCTATGACAAGAAATATCTGCTTTATCCTCTTTTTTGGAATAAAAAAGGAATAAAAAGGAAATAAAATAAATAAAAAGAAAAAATTATAAACTACAACAATGCATAAGACCATGATGAAACGTTCATATTCCCAGGCAATCCGATGCAGGCTCAAATTTTTTATTTCAATAAACTTGTTATCCAGATAATATTTTAATAATTTATTTTGATTTGTAAAATGTTAAAAACTATTATTTAAATGTCACAAACATAATTTTTATCCAAAGTAAATGGGTAGTCAAACAAGAAAATATATAGCTTCCTTGATACTTTAGGTCCTTGGCTCCTTGGCTCCTTGGCTCCATTCACATATAGTTTTGATGCTCATTCATGTGTTTTTTATGTACAGTATAAATGAAAGTGGCATAAAGGCATAAATGGCCTAAAGCATTTGTGAGAGGTTTTGATTCCGATACCTCCAAAAATGAACCTGACTGGACCACAGTTTTTGGAGGGTTGACGCTTGACGCATGACGCATTAAAGGGGTCATATGATGTTATTTTAAAGATCATTATTTTGTGCATTTGGTGTAACAGAATATGTTGACATGCTTTAGTGTTCAAAAAACACATTGTAGGTCCTCTATGCCCCGCCTCTCTCTGTCGTTTTCTACAAAGCCCCTCCTTCCGACAAGCACAGTCTGCTCTGATTGGCCAGCTGACCCAGTGCATTGTGATTGGCCGAACACCACAAGCACGCGTCGGAAATGTAACGCCCCTTTCCATAATCGCGAGCTTCAGCTTTCAACATAAATGTAAAGAAATGTAAATAATGTCCTTAATTTTACCATCAGTTCAAGCCCGAAAGGGGAACAGAGTGGCGTGACAGACACAGTGATGATGCTCGTATGTATTTGCAATACACAAGCCGCAATTAAGAAAGCTGACTCCACTGTGATGTGACCCTGTCTCTCTCTCACGCACACACACACAGAACGCGATACTCTACATGGCGCAAAACTCCACATTTGAACAGTCAATAGCAAATACTTAAACTATTAAGAAAACATACTTACAGTAGCTGATTCAGAATAAGCGCCAAATTGTCATAGCAAAGTTGGAACTGACCCATTTTTTTAAAAATAGCCTTTGCACAGCCAGCCTTGTAGGCTTACTCTCCTAGGTTCACAAAACTGTCGTCCATAAAATGCGTTGCACATATTCGAACATCTGGGTTGTGCTGTTCTGTTGTAAATAAATCTTAACCAATGATTCCTCATGGCATCTACTTCCGGAAGGCCAAATAAAGTGCTTTTGCTTTCGCACAGAAACACACAGCGTCTCCCTGGCATGGCTGCATCAACACTACTGCGGTTCCTGAAACCATGCCTTCTTTCTTTGCGTGAACATTTGGGTGGCATTACTCAAATATTTCCACATCGTGACGTAGAGATGTGGGGGCGTGTTTGAATGAGGCGTTTTAGCCCGGTCTGGATCAGCCTTCTCTTTTAGATAGAATAAATCCTTTTGTGGGAGACTTTGAGCTTTGTAACTCTGCAGATCTTATACATGCACAAATAGCTACATAACACACTAAAGAAAAGGAAAAATAGAAATCGCATCATATGACCCCTTTAATTTGACATCACAAACCCAAACTGTAGAACTTATAAAGTCTAAATGTCATGTGAGAGACGTTTGCAATTTTTACAAACAGGTCTGTTCCATGCAACCAAAATATCCCACTCAAACAACCTGCAAACTACTTCAGAGTGACCACTAACCTCTAAAAATGACTTTACCATCCACACCTACACTGAAAAATCTTTAGGATAAAGCAATAAAGAGGGAGTATGTGGATAGGAGAGAGAGACAGAGTGAGAGAACGACACCAAAGACTACTAATGGTCAGGTCATTCTCATGATGAGTCACCAGGGCAAATTTGTGGTGAATAGACAGACCGCACGCACAAAAGCTCCTCTTATATGTGAGCCACTCTAGCCTTAGGATACACATGTTGTTATTCCACACATACACTCACAGTATGTTTCTGAGTATTCAAGGGCATTCACTTGCTTCTTTTTAAATGTATGTGTGTTTGAGAATTTGTATGTAACTCCAGCTCAACGTTACTGAACTCAAAGTCGGCTTTTTGTTTAGTTTGCAGAGCCAAACTTGTCTAAAGCTAGACTGAGGTATGTAGACGAGTATGCGTGCATGTCTGAAACCATGGTGGTGTTTAGGGAAAAATGAATTCCTGTGATTTTGCATCTCAACGACATTTGTACACACTACAAACATTTCAGCCGGATTTGCCCTGCATGCAAGGTTGATATATACTTAAGGTTATTTACATTTCTTCTAATCAGTGGAAATGTGTTGCTAAATCTTTTATGATAAACTCATAAAATCAAGACTCTCCCAAAATAGGTTAAGTTTCCTTGTGCAATTATAAGCTCCCACGGTCAGGTCAGGAAGACATGCAAATAAAAAAAGGCAGTGTTTTCCTTTAACCCTTTTCTTTCCTATTATAATGCTGAGAACAGATTCAAAAGACAGTCACAGCACACAAATACTACAGCGATAGTAGAGTTAGCCATGATGCAAAGTGGGGTAAAATTACTGTAATGCACAGCCAGTCTTCAGTGTCACATGATCCTTCAAAAATCTTTTTAATTCCTTTGTATATGTGTTTTTATATGGCTTTTAAGTTGGAGGAAAAAAATGTTTTTTTTTTCTTTAATTCAGTTTTTTTTCTTAATCGCCTAAAAGTCTCAAATACTCTAACTTTCTGACATGTATATTTACCTCTCATTCTCTCTAGAATCAAATTAAATTTCTGAGCCAGAATCATCCATTTAATAAAGATTGTCAGTCCCTGATCCCTGTGTTAGAGTGGTAAACATTGCATGTGTGGCATTGAAAACAGGTTCTCTTGTCTGATGAGGGTGAGAAACCTATAATGTAAACATAGGAGAAGAGAACGCCAACACAATATGGTCAGAGTTAGTTGTAGGGCCAAACAATGCAAAACCATCAACGGAAACTGACATTTTCCATACTGACTTTTATGGTGTGTATTGTGTAAAGCATAGAATGTGGGTGTAAGTACTAATGCACACACACACACACACACAAATATGCACAAAATATGAGGACTGGCCCTTTACAATACATGTCAATAATTAACTCGTAAATTAGTCATTACAGTAAATGGGCTCTAGGTTGAGGGCTGTACAGTGGGACCAAGGGCAAGGAAGCATATTGAAGATACAGTTATGACAAATACAAACTCATTTTAATGATTCCTCATTAGATTGGCAAAATAGATTAAAAGGAATAAAGCTGTTGAGTTGAATAATGAACAGCTTATTGTGGGTGAGGGTCAAATGAAAAGTGCAGATGACAAAGTCAGTGACTTCATGGGGGAAAAACCAACACTGTAAAAAAAAAAACTGACATTTACGGTAAAATACCAGCAGCTGTGGTTGCTAAAACTTTACCACAAAAAAATATTGTAGCCACATTTTGGGTTTTACATACTTAACTTAAATTCACAGTAAAAAAAAACTTGATTGAAATACTAATATCTGTTTTGTACCATACACTGATAACTACCAAAAACAGGTGGTAATGAGAAAGTCACATGATGAACCAAAGCTCATCCAGCCTGGTCTCGTTTATACGTAGGTATTAATACGTAACATTTACAAGCACAAAACGTACACTTTTGTACGTTTTTAATCATGCCCGAGTAAACTATTTAATAATGCAATTGAAAATAAGTTAATTCATATGATAATTCAAAACTAATACAATTAATGCCCCGATTTCAATATTCATAAGGATTCATTTTTAGGTGTTGTCAATACGTCAGTTTTGTTCGTTAAAATGCTGAAAATACGTAAGTATTGTACGTTTTAGTGCCTGTAAAAACTTAAGTAAATGTACGTTTTATAGAAACACATTTTACGTATAATATATACGAATTATCATGAGATCACGTTGGCTCATCACAAGCAGCTTTTCCACAAGCTGAGGAGGTACATTTTTATATGTGACCCTGGACCACAAAACCAGTCTTAAGTCGCTGGGGTATATTTGTAACAATAGCCAAAAATACATTGTATGGGTCAAAATTATTGATTTTTCTTTTATGCCAAAAATCATTAGGATGTTAAGTAAAGATCATGTTCCATGAAGATATTTTGTAAATCTCCTACTGTAAATATATCAAAACTTAATTTTTGATTAGTAATATGCATTGCTAAGAACTTCATTTGGACAACTTTAAAGGCGATTTTATCAAAAAAACATTTTTTGCACCCTCAGATTCCAGATTTTCAAATAGTTGTATCTTGGCCAAATATTGTCCTATCCTAACAAACCATACATCAATAGAAAGCTTATTTATTCAGCTTTCAGATGATGTATAAATCTCAATATCGAAAAATTTACCCTTATGACTGGTTTTGTGGTCCAGGATCACATATATAGGTACACAGTGCCATTCACACAAACGCTAAACACCATCATGTTTAACACACATGATACTGAAATAATGCAATAAGCATTAATTTAACAACATTAGATGTAAGATAAAACCCTAATGTACACAACTAATACGAAAAAACTAAGAAGAAACCGTTATTTCAATGAAAATACATCAAATGTGAAGTGTCATTCTGGGAATGTCAATGTACGGTTTTTCACTGTAAATTATACAATGACTTGTTCTTTTAAACGTAAATTACAGGTATTCATCGTATATAGTACGGAAACTTGCTGTAAATTAATTAACAGGTTTTTACTGTAGCATTTTTACAGTCTTTTACTGTTAAAATCACGACCACATTTTATAGTGATATACCCCTTGAGGTCTTTGAAAGATGCTTCAGTCACATGAATTAGTAAGTATGATCTCACAGGGGCAACAAAAGCTTATCAATTTAAGTACATTGGTTAGACAGCAAATGACACCATGTATCATCATCAAAGACATCACTGAATCAATGATGAACTGACTTTAACTGAAAAATCGACTGTTTACTGTATAAAGCGCTATATAAATAAAGGTGACTTGACTTGACTATCATTTAGGCTTCACTTCTTCAAACAACATTTGACATCTAACTTCCAACTCCGAAAAAAGGCCACAGATATGTTTTTAAAAATATGATCTGTATGAACTATTGTCTGGCTGTATGATATAAAGCAGTTTGTTTTAGCCTATTGTTGTGTACGAGTACATTTAGGAAAAACATACTGAAACAACTCATAAGCCACATAATTCATTTCAAAACATGTAAAGCCTTCAGTTTAACACTCTGAAAGTCCCACTAAACCACAGTGATCATGACGACAATATGATGGGGAACAATGTTTGACAATGTTTCTCATTATCTAAAAATAAACAATTAACCAAATCAATGGTACTAAAAACTACATCAAATGAGATGTCAAACTATTATACAACACAATATTTGCATTTTGCAACCTTAAAGTGGAACACAAAATAAGACAGTAAGCAGAATGATGACCTCAGCTACCTTTCACGTTCATTGTATGGAGAAAAAAAAGATGCAATGAAAGCGAATTGTGACTGAGGCTGTTCTGCCTAACAGCTCCTTTTCCGTCCACAGAAGAAAGGAAACCATACCAATATGGTAAATGATGACAGAAGTTTCATTTTTAGGTGTACTTTCCCTTTAAGTCAATAAAAACATTTTTAAAAGTCTTAGCACTTAGCACCGTTAAATTCACACTACACTAAAGCCATCTTGATCATAATTAAGGGGAGCAACATTTGACGTTGATTCCAATTAAATGAATAACAAAACAGCTACACAAAATAAGAACAAAAGGATTATACTACACACAATATTTGCATTCCTGGCGCCACCTGAACGCTTGTAGGCTACTCGATGCGGGCCCCTTTTCGTTGCCACAGCAACGCGATGCGCTGATGACTTTGACCAAACAGATCAGTCACATCGTAAATGACACCACAGAAAAATCTTCAACCTCTCAACATGAACTGCAAAGCTGCCTGAGGTCAAACAGAGCGAGAAACAGACTTAGTAAAAGAAAAACGGTGTAAAATTAGTCAGATCGATGAGTCAGTCTATCCATGATGAGGACAGGAAACAGAACGAACAGGGTTTCTAAGACGACAGACAATAAACTCAAAACAAACCACACGCAATAATTGGTGATCAGGGCTGAGTTTTTAACAAAACACACTTAATATATAATATAATCATATTTATGCTCGGATGTACATCCATGGTTAAGAGGTTTCCCATGAATCACAGTTACAATAATTCTCTTACAACAAGCCAAGACTTGTTTGATAATTCAAAGATAGACTAAAGCGTCTCCGTGCGTAAAGTGAACACAAACTCCGAGCCTACCGCAGTTGCAGGTTCAGAGTGACAGCGTGGCGCGGCGGCTCTGTTGTCGTGTCACTGACGGTCCACTTATAAAAACGCCTTTTCAGCACATTTACATGTTAGACCAAGTGACTGTCACCGGGTTTACCATCCCACTTCTTCTACCTGCCGAAGTCAGATCTTAGGTAGCTTCGCTTCTGGGAAGGTTATCTCGAACGAAATGTCCGTGACGCACCGATGTAATTCGAGAGTGAAGCGGAAGGTGGAGGAGACCGCAGGTTTTAAGTTTACGGCTTCCAGCTCAGGTTTGAACCTCGAGCTGTGTTTTGAGTTCCGCGGTGAGGTGAGCAGGAGGTGGGCGGGGCATAATGGTGATTGACGTTTAGAAAGCCAATTAAAATCCATCGAAACTTGACATGTAGCCTATTGAGAGACGGCATTTTAAAACACAACAGAAGCTATTATTATGTAATTCAGGTACGCACAGGTAAGCAGTTCAAATATCTATCTATCTATCTATCTATCGCCTGTCTGTCTATTATAGTCAAATTAATTGAACCATCCACTAACCCGGAAAATAACCATCTGATATTGGGTGAGCAACATATTTTGAGGACAACATAAAGTCTAATGAAAGGAATAGGGAATCAGTGATGCTATGATTAATTTATGCTAGACAAATCTGCTCTTTTGCATGCCATCCTAGGGTTGCCTGGGATTTAGTTCATTGCCTACACCCATCTGCACATGAAAGGGAATCCTCCCTTCAGTGGAATGTACGAAACCACTGAACCTGAGGTATGTTTTAAAAGAGAGTCATTTTCACACATGACGACATGAGTGTAGCATTAACTATTTGTATATATTGATATCAATCATTATTGCATTGTAGAAGTTTACACAATTTCTTTGGAAATTGAAATCATGACAAATCGTTAAATTCTCTATCAGAAACAATTTCCTTGTATTAGAGGGATCATTCCAAGATCAACCATTTGAAAAGATATATTAAAAAAGATCACTATAAATAAATATTCATTCATTCTCTGTTTTATGTTTTTATTCATTGGCTGATACATGAACACAAAGGAATACACTTGGTAAATATGAACTAGTGTTCTGTATTGCCATTATTTTAACAGCAAGTGTAAATGACAACTTCATGTGAAACAGATTAAGATTTCTTTAGGATTAAATTGAGTCGGATTATGAGCAGAAACATCTCTATTCACCCTTCCCGTTCTACTGGATAGGCACCAGTTCTTTAAGTGTAAGAAAAATGCCTGAAATATAACGGAATGCTAATTACATACCATACATTAGCTACACAGCGATAGTAGAATACTTTAAACAGCCAAATGTATGACATGTTATTAAATGGCGGAATTACATATTACATCAAAAGAACACTCAGGTTATAAACTTAAAGTTTTATTGAATATGCAAAGCATTCCATGAAAAGTCCCTATAATGTGAGTATGATAGTTGTCATATATCATGTATTTACATAATCTGAATATGTGATTAGTTTAAGAAACACTGAGCAGGTGTTGCAAAAATAATGAACGCCCAATGAGGAAACAGTGAGCTCTGCTGGTGGACAGGAGAATTGTTAGGTGCAGTATATCAATCAGTAAGGGATGTCTTTCATTCGTATTAAAATATGCATTGCTAATATATTCAAATTCATTAATTAATCAATTAATTCATATTTTTGATTGACATGTATTATTATTATTAATAATAACATATTAATAACATATGATTAAACTGTGAGAAAACCAGTTTTAAGTGGATGATGTGGATTTCTTTAAATATGCTATCAGATTAACCCTTTCCTTATTCTTCCGGATCCCAGCAAAGATCATCATGGTCCCTGGAATGTACCTCTTAGGATTCTCTAAATACTCCATAAGTGTGTCTTCCTTCCAAACAACACCTAAATCAACCAAAGCAATGCTGAAATATGAAAAATGCTGTTTTCTTTATATATTTATTAATGTATTAGTGTGAACCGAATTGTGAACAGGATAATGTGGTTTTAAATATATCCAAGATTAAACTGAAAGCATTACCCTGTTTGCACGTTTGCATGCTTTAACATAATGAAAGTATTTTTTCTATATAGCAACTCCGTGACCGCTTACCTTTCTCCACGTTCTCCTGTGTGTAAAGGTAGTCAGGTGCTTGGCCAGTCAAGCGACCAAAGAATCCATTTAGGCTTGGACCAACTTTGTACTTGCCACCAGCCTCAGCAGTGTGACACTGAGAGCATTTCTGAATAGAGATCTTCTTTCCTTTTGCTAAGTCTTCTCCCATTCTAATGCTCACAACAAAAGGATCTGGCAAAAAGATATACAGTGGGTACGGAAAGTATTCAGACCCCCTTAAATTTTTCACTCTTTGTTATATTGATATAATAATAGGTTATATTAAGTAAAGCAAATGCCATGGTACTATCTGACATTATCAGTGTACCATAGTATTGCCACAACCGATTGATTTTGTTTTCGCAAGATATGTATGTGTCTACAGAAATTGACTTTCATGAATAAACCTTTAAAAATATTATATTAAGTAATATTATTAATATAATAATAGGTTATATTAAGTAAAGCAAATGCCATGGTACTATCTGACATTATCAGTGTACCATAGTATTGCCACAACCGATTGACATTGTTTTCGCAAATGTACGTCAGGAAATCTAACTTTCTAAAATACTCATCGATTGAATAAAACATCGCGGATTAAAGTCGTTCTGCAAATGCAAAATATATATATACATTTAAATGTTATCTTAGGCTATAATACCGTAACGAAATTATATTAATATTATTATAGAATACACTGAGTATATTAATCTCAGTGTATTCTAGAAATAAAAGAGCTCGTGCACCCACCTTTACTGTGCTATTAATACTCAAGGATGTTATTTGTCAAATCAAAAACACTTCACTCAGTTTAACACCATGGCTAACTGCTTTTCCCCAATCCAGTTTTCAGTTTCTGTGCAACTGAAACCTTTTTTTTTTTCACAAATACATCCTCAAAATCAGTCTGACCATGGTGGATGTGAATTATAGGCCTATTGCGCTATTAATACTCAAGGATGTTATTTGTCAAATCAAAAACACTTCACTCAGTTTAACACCATGGCTAACTGCTTTTCCCCAATCCAGTTTTCAGTTTCTGTGCAACTGAAACCTTTTTTTTTTTTCACAAATACATCCTCAAAATCAGTCTGACCATGGTGGATGTGAATTATAGGCCTATTGTAACAGGGCTGACGAGACGTGAGACGTTCGGATCCAAATGCAAAGCTTTATTTCAGAGACGTGGTAAACAGGCAGGGTCAAAACACTGGCAAACAGGTATATGGCGGGCAAAACACAAGAATAGTCACCGGGCTAGCGTAGGTCACCGAACAGCAGACAGAGTCACAGGAGCAAGGCTAAAGGGAGGAATCCAGGAAAACAGGCGAAGATCAAAACCGGAGAAAACAGACAAGGCAAGGCAAAAACTAGGAAAACACGGAGACTCGGAAAGGGGTACAGGCTAAACAATACTCAGCAGAGAAATGTGGTTAGAGTGGGTGTTATATAGTGAATGAGGTAATTAGAAACAGCTGTGTGCAATCAGAGCAATCAGGTGTGTGCAATTCGTGCTGAGTGCAATCAGTGCAATGCATGATGGGAAATGTAGTCCGGGGTGATGTGCAACAGTGTGTAGTGCGAGAGTCAATGAAATTAGAAGTACATGGACCAGATTCGTGACACCTATACTTTCAGTTGTACTTTTGGAACATAGATTGGATTTAGTAACTGAACAAATTGTTGTACGTTTTACAAGACAATACTATTTCAGTCTTAGAATTTGGGGGCTCGTCTATCAGTAACAAAATGTGATTTATCTGTTTTGTTATTTGTAACAGGTTGGTGATTGCTCCATTGTTGGACAATTTGTAAATGGTAAGGGTTCTTTTTCTCTTGTCTTGTATATTTTGCCTGATTGTTATTGCTCTTTTTGACAAAAGTTTCACATTTAATTCAATGTGTTACTTGCTGTTTCTTGTATTTATTTGTGAAAATTAATAACAATTCCTCAGTTAATCTTTTTTCAAAGTAAACACAACACCGTTTTTTCAGAACCACTGTGCTTCTTACACCCAAATAAGTGTTTGTTTGTAATATATTTGTTATTAAGTAAAAACTGAAAAATTGATCATGTGCTGTCCAGTTTAGATTTTTGTACCAGTTTTGCACATTGCTGATGCAGTTAGATGCTTTTGGATATAGTGTTTCATTCAGATTGTTTAAGCGGCATTAGTCTATAGCAAGAGAACTGCTGCAAGTATTTTGTGTAAAGCTTCACCTCATGAGGTTTTGTGAAACTAGTGATGGATATCTCACAAGATGAATCCTGGAGGTTGAAAAACTGAGAGCAAGGAATGGTTTTGATATTTGCAAACACCAGCTCTCTTTCATATAATTTGTTCCCTGCAGGTCGAAATCACTGTCAGGGGGAAGGTTTGGTCCCCTCTTGTTTGAAAACTTAAATAAGACTTTAAAGCTAAGCAGAGAGGGATGATATATCTTTTGCATCTTGTGCACCTGCATCTGTAGGACGGAAGGTGTTTTATATCATTATTCTTGGTTAGAGGTGTGTGTGTGTGTGTGTGTTTGGCAAATGCCATGTCGCATTGTTCCTCAGCAACCTGTAGCAGGCCATCTTGTAGAGGATCAACTTGAAACATTCCAGTTTATTAAACAGCATATTTATAACACCTCAACCTCATTAAGCATTGTACATTTGCAGGTGAAAGATGAGTTGCTTTTTTTAATGCATAAACGAAAGGAACCTTGATGCAATTATGGGTGTTGGATTGTTCCAACACTCTTAAAAATAAAGGTTCTTTATTAGCATCGATGGTTCCATTAAGAACTTTTAACATCAGAGGAATATTTCCCTTGCATAAAAGGTTCTTTGTAGTGGAAAAGGTTCCTTAGATTAATACAATGTTTTTCACACACACACACACACACACACACACACACACAAAAAGAACACACTCTCACCAGTATAGTGTTATTCATAATTTAATCAGTTCATAATTTCTCATGAAGAGAATAGGAAATTCATAAAACTGATTAACAAAACATCTTTCATAAACAGCTGTTGTTTTGTGGGCTTCTTTAGTCTAAAGCTGTGTAGTCTGTTCTCTTTACAGTTTCTTCTGAGTCTTCTACTGTTTCAAACACATAGTCGTGGACTTGAGTCCTGCGAGAGAAATCAAATAAAACAATTTGTTAGAAATTCCATTA